CTTTCCCTTGTAGCTTATCGAGCTTCGTTGTATTAACTGTAAACAGTACCCACAAGTAGATGAGTGAAATATATGCAACAGTACTGTATCTTTATTGTTGAAACATTTCGCCTTCTCAAGAGGCTTCTGTAGTCGAATACAGAAGAGACTTAAATATTGGAGACAGTCTCTAATATTTAAGTATCTTTTGTATTCGATTTTGCTATCTTCTGTAATTAAATTACAGCTGTAATTAACTGAAGAAATCAGTCAAGCAGGCGAAACGTTTCGAAAATTAAAATACCTAACTGTTGCGCATGTCTTACCAAGCATCACATTTTGCAACCCTGGGACAACAAGTACCTGCTTGATGTATGTTATAAAATCACTGTCATATGTACCTCTTCACCCTGCAGAACTTGTTAAATTCCAGTGTCATGGCATCATGTTACACATGGATAACTCCACACTTTATTCATCCCAAACCCATTGTTCTAATTGGTGACTTGAATGTTTAACACAAAATGTTGGGTGACACCACCACAAATGCCAATGGAAGAAGATTAATCAAACTTTTAGAAGCATGGTCTCGTGTCCGAATCATTAGTAAAAATTAATCACCTCACATATACGAAGGAACTCTTAACGGGTGCATTGACTTTAAAGTGGCATACACAGTACGTTATGCTGACATTGTTGATGATCTGACATCTGATCATTTACCCACAACAGCCACTATATACATAACCAGTGTCACCTTGCCTGGCGACAGACTAAATATGTGAAGGTTAACAGTGACTCAAGGCAAGAGAATAAATTTGTTGACTGCATGTCTAACTGCTATAAATATTACGAACCTGAGACTGCAAATTTTTTTATGATCTTGTAAGTACAATATCTGTGTTTTTAATTAAGTGGTCAAAAATAAAAAGTGGGAAAAGTTAAGATACTGGACAGTATAAACATTATAATCCCAAATTGAGACAGCATAAATCAGTGGATAGGAACAAGGTAAAAATGTTGTAAGCGACTCGTGACTCGCTTATAACATTGTTAACTTGAGAATGCGACTTCAGATTTAGTGCTGGTGTATTTTGTGATATTGGTTTTTGTGATAACTAAAGAATACCTCTGATAAGCTTTAAACTTTCAAAGCTGGCGTATCTTAGTGGAAACCTGGAATTAGCTATGGGTTGTGTACATGCCAATTTGCCATTTTTATTGAAGAAATTGAGATAATTTGTTAATAAATCTTTCTGTCTGGCATCAAACCTTCAATGCAAATATTTAACTGAATTAGATTAGGTGCCACACTCTAAACTATATCTTTTCCGATGCATGCATTTAACACAGGGAACTAGGATACGTGGAGACATTTCTTGGAATGCTCAGCAAGCAAAACACACCTAGTTTTGTATGAACTAGCTAGAATGGACGTTGGTGGCCTACTCTTATCCTGAATACTTCACTAATAGAAAATCTGCCTTATTGTTTTAGAGCTATAAAAGGGAAATTAAAGAAATACATCCTGATACTCGTGTAAGTGGTTCAGTTATTTCTTATACTGTTTAATAAATTAGTCAGTGCTTTACTAAAATCAACACCAGGTACTGCCAGGAACATTGCAGTTAGGTATACTAATGATACTCTTGGCCTTGTAGTTTTTATAAGGATGTTGGTAAAATTACCGACAATATGTTAGGTAAAAGGACAAAAGTGCAACTAATGTGACACTATATTGTGGCAACGTTTCGCTCTCCAGGCTTGACAAAATTCCTGGAGAGTCTCAAAACTCCAGACCGTCGCGTTAGCCACTGGACCAGCTAGCCACAATAAGATTCGTCCAACTAGGTAAATTTCTACGCCATAGGAAGGTTAGCATAGGCACCACTGTGACCACA